GTGATAAACACAGGGCCAATCAGCACTGCCCAGACAGAAGGTCAGGGGTCCTGCAGTGGGACAGTGAGAGGAAAATGAAAACTCCTCCTATAGGTTTTAACCAGTGCTCTGCTGGACACTGATAGATGTCACAAGACTGCTCTAACTGCTGATGAGAAAAGGTATTTAGCAGTTTATATTTATTAAAATAATTGCATTTTAATGTTCTGTGTACTGTGGGAGACCAGATATAGTGAATGCAGGGTCTGGGTTTAGTAACATTTTAATACTGCTGTATTTATTAATGGTATCATCCAGCTTCCCTGTAAGTTGGAGCTAGTTTGTTTAGTCCTTAAATAGACCCCTTCCTCCATCATCTTTTTATTACCTCAGTAAGATGCCAGCATTAATAGCAGATGTAAGGCTGAGAAGATTATGGTTTCTTTACACTTCAAATGACCAATGAACATCCCATGTACTGCATCTTAAGAGGTAAAACTAAGTTGGATGAAACTACTGTGTCTTATTGGAGAATGAAAGTAGAAGCAAAAGTTGTAGTAAAAAAAAAAAGAGAAAGATATAATGTGTTAGTATGCATTGCAAACTAACACATCATGAAAGACTTGCCTTGAAATAAAGCCCCCCAGCTACACACTGTCACCGATGCAGAGGCTTCCATCTTCACCTGGTCCTCCGGGTTCATGGGCTGAGGCTGCTAGAATGGCCAAGCCATGATGACATCACTCCCAAATTGTGTGTGCGGGTATCACAGCCATGGCACAGAGCTCTTCCAGAACGGCATGGATATGCCGATCCTTCAGAGCGCATGTGCTGCTCACCAGAATATTTCCTAAATGCTCCACGTTTATGAGATAAAGATTACCTGTTGGGTAAATGAATATTATAAGCTTACTTGTAGGTAAAAATAAAAATAGAGCGTTTACTACCACTGTGAGATTTCTCTCAAAGGTCCATATTCAGAAGCTGACCATACTGGCTACATAGACTTAGGGCTAAAGGAGATACACTATATTACCAAAAGTATTGGGACGCCTGCCTTTACACGCACATGAACTTTAATGGCATCCCAGTCTTAGTCCATAGTGTTCAATATTGAGTTGGCCCACCCTTTGCAGCTATAACAGCTTCAACACTTCTGAGAAGGCTGTCCACAAGGTTTAGAAGTGTGTCTATGGGAATGTTTGACCATTGTTCCAGAAGTGCATTTGTGAGGTCAGGCACTGATGTCAGACGAGAAGGCCTGGCTCGCAGTCTCTGATCTAATTCATCCCAAACATGTTCTATTGGGTTGAGGTCAGGCCAGTTAAGTTCCTCCACTCCAAACACTCATTAATGTCTTTATGGACCTTGTGCACTGGTGCATAATCATGTTGGAACAGGAAGAGGCCATCCCCAAACTGTTCCCTCAAAATTGGGAGCATGAAATTGTCTAAAATGTCTTGGTATGCTGACGCCTTAAGATTTCCCTTCGCTGGAACTAAGCCCAAGCCCCCCTGAAAAACAACCCCACACCATAATCCCCCCCTTTACACTTGGCACACTGCAGTCAGGCAAGTACCGTTCTCCTGGCAACTGGCAAACCCAGACACGTCAATGGGATTGCCAGAGAAGCGTGATTCGTCACTCCAGAGAACACTTCTGCATTGCTCTAGAGTCCAGTGGGGGCATGCTTTACACCACGGCATCCGACGATTTGCATTGCACTTGGTGATGTAAGGCTTGGATGTAGCTGCTCGGTCATGGAAACCCATTCCATGAAGCTCTCTACACACTGTTGTTGTGCTAATCTGAAGGCCACATGAAGTTTGGAGGTCTTTAGCTATTGACTCTGCAGACAGTTGGCGACTTCTGCACACTGTGTGCTTCAGCATGTGCTGACCCCGCTCTGTCATTTTACGTGGCCTACCACTTCATGGCTGAGTTGCTGTTGTTCCCAGTTGCTTCCACTTTGTTATAATGCCACTAACAGTTGACCATGGAATATTTAGTAGCAAGGAAATTTCACGGATGGACTTATTGCACAGGTGGCAACCTATCACGGTACCATGCTTGAATTCACTGAGCTCCTGAGAGCGACCCATTCTTTCACAAATGTTTGTAGAAGCAGTCTGCATGCCTAGGTGCTTGATTTTAAGCACCTGTGACCATGGAGGTGATTGAAATACCTGAATCCAATGATTTGGAGGGGTGTCCCAATACTTTTGGCAATATGATGTATGTCAATGCATAAAATTGTGCTATTTATGGTGACAAATGCCCTGTGCAGGGAATCTCTATGCCTGCTTGACATATTTCTGGCCCTAAACATAGTAACTTTGTGGGTTTTTTTGCCATTTTCACACTGCTTTTTTATTGATTTGTAACACATGGAATACACTTTAAAAGAAAGATTAATTCTTTCTATTTGAAGCTGTTTGCTGTACCCCATAGATTTAAAGGTGCATTTTATTGGCAGACATGCTGCAAGCCATCTGACAAGACTCACTATATCTTCAGACTTTCAGGAAGTTGGATCAAATTGCCATTATTGTTTTCAAAGGTGCAGATTTTGGAGATGCTATCTGAATTCTGGCTTCATTATTTTGTGAGTCATTAACCCAGAAGAATGCAGCCAGAGGACTCAGGACACCTGAGCTGCATACCTGTTGCAAGCATGAATCTGATAAGAGCTTAGTAGCTGGCATTGAAAAGTGAATAATAGAAGTGTCCATACTTTTATCCTGATGAGTTTCCTCTTTACCTCCAATGTGAATGTTCTTAAACGTGAATGTTTTGAAGGCATTAGCTCCAGAATTGTTAAATTGTAAGTGTTCACTATCTTGTTTCTTAAAATCCAGTTTAGGAGATTAAGCATGTCAAGTCAGTATTTAGATATCCTCGGTCTTATTTGGTTTAGTGGATTTGATAAAGAAGCGCACCGCTTCAAAAGACGTTATCCATTATAGAAGACCACTGTGTGGGCTCTCCTCTGTCCTTTCCTGCTACAGATACCACTGCTCAGCCACATGTATACATCACTTCCGATGGTCTTCGTCTGGTGATGTCATCTCTGGTTCCTGTACTCCCACAGTACAGCCATTTTGTTGATGGTGTTTGGTGGTCTCCACTGCATAATTAGACCATCACACTGCGGTTTCCTCCCCTTCTGGCATTGGTGTTTCCTGGATTGTTTGGCCATCAAGTCGTGTATATCCTTAGCCTCCTGTGCTACACCATATAGCACCAAGTGCACTGCTAGTTCATTTGTTTGTCAACTGGAACTCTGAGCCCATCTTATCACATTCTACATGTGATCAATTAATATTGAAAGGAGGAGGGGGGGGATACAATACAAGAGGTGCTAACATCCCTGGAAAATGGGAAAGAAGGGGGAAAGGTCCTCTACTTGGTGGGACTTTGGAGGCACAAATTGTGAAATGGTTTCACAATTTGTGCCTCCAAAGTCCCACCAAGTAGAGGACCTTTTCCCCTTCTTTCCCAATTAATATTGAAACATACTTTCTTGCAGTGTATGGTGACTTTCTCCTTGTACAAGGGTTATTTGACTACTAGTCCCCAAATGCACTTTGAAACCCTACCCTTTGTTTCAATACTGCACAGCAGGCACTATACATAGAAAATAGCTTAAAGAAAAGGGAAGGAATTTTGTTTTTCAAAGAAAAGACTTACAAAGTCTCTCCCACCAAAAACTATTTTTAGTGCTCCTTTGATACAACCTTCCACCCCATAATAACATCCTTTACATTTTTTTTCTAGTAAACAGCTACTGCATTCTTGTCAGTTTCCACATACTGAACCATGTTTGTTGTTATACCCAAGGCAACAGTGAGCTTCTGAAACAACTGGAGCCAAGAGCATTAGACCTCATTCAGATGGGTGCACTACAGTGTACACCCGTGTAAGGGCTGTGTTTGCCCCCATGGGGATGCACAAGTGTTCCAAGCACCCCCGTCCAGGCAGTCCCATTCACATCAATTGGGACGCAGCTCCTGCTCCCAACTAGACAGCCATGCAGGTGCATGGCCCCAAATGCACATTGTCTGCACTTCTCCACATACTCTGCTTACCCTGGAATATGTTAAAAGCAAGCTTGTGGATGAACATAAGCAAAAAGCAGAAAGTGCAAACAGTGAAAACGCTCCTACAGCACAATATGAATGAAGAACCAACAGCCACAATAATAATAACAATATTATGCAAAAATGTTTTGCATACAAAAAAATAGATCACTTAAAGTGTTCCTAAACCCAGGACCCTGTATTCACTATATCTGGTCTCCCACAGTACATAGAACATGGAAATGCAACTATTTTAGTAAATATAAACTGCTAAATACCTTTTCTCATCAGCAGTTAGAGCAGTCTTGTGTCTTCTATCAATGCCCAGCCAAGCACTGGTTAAAGCTTGTAGGAGGAGTATTCATTCTGCTCTAAGATGCAGGACCCTTGACCTCAATTAGGACAGTGTTGATTGGCCCTGTGCTGATCACATGCACTCTCCCAAGAAAAAAAATAATCTCTCTAGCAATACACACCAAACTGAGCATGTGCAGAGTCACTCCACAGGATATGTCTTATCAGGGGATAAGAGAGGGACAGTGGAAGAAGAGGAGGATCAGAGAAGTAAGGGTCAAACAGCATTTTTACACAATGCAGATGATTAACCCCTTAGGTTCCACAGTGAGTATAACAAGCGTGCTTTACTGCAAATACAGCCTGATTTTACTGTTGTGGGTTTAGTAACACTTATGCAGGCCATAGATGGGTCGAAAAATCGGCCGATTTTTCGGCCGAAAATAAAATCGGCCGATTTTCGGATCGTTAGTGGGCTATTTGGTTGGCCGTTTTTCGGTATTTTGGCCGTTTTTTTTTTCTGTAAAGTTGGAAAAAAATCAGCCGATTTTGCCGATCGGCCGATTTTCGCGGCAATTAGTGGGCAAATCGGCCGATTTTTTGCCGATAAAAAATCTGCGCATGAGCAGTGACCTGCAAGAGGAAGACAAAAAGAAGAAAAAGAAGAAGAGGAAGAGGATGAAGAAGAGGATAAAGAAAAAGAAGAGGAAGAAGAAGAGGATGAAGAAGAAGAAGAAGAAGAGGATGAGGAAGAGGATGAGGAAGAAGAAGAGAATGAGGAAGAAGAAGAAGAAGAAGAGGAGGATGAGGAAGAAGAAGAAGAAGAGGATGAGGAAGAAGAAGAAGAAGAAGAGGATGAGGAAGAAGAAGAAGAAGAAGAGGATGAGGAAGAAGAAGAAGAAGAGGAAGAGGATGATGAAGAAGAAGTAGAAGAGGATGAAGAAGAAGTAGAAGTAGAGAGGATGAGGAAGAAGAAGAAGAAGAGGATGAGGATGAGAAGAAGAAGAAGAAGAAAGAAGAAGAAGAAGATGAAGAAGAAGAGGAGAAGAAGAAGAAGAAGAAGAGGAGGATGAGGATGAAGAAGAAGAAGAGGATGAGGATGATGAAGAAGAAGAGGACGAGGAAGAAAAGAAGAAGAGGACGAGGAAGAAAAGAAGAAGAGGATGAGGATGTAGAAGAAGAGGATGAGGATGTAGAAGAAGAGGATGAGGATGAAGAAGAGGATGAGGATGAAGAAGAAGAAGAAGAGGAGGAGGATGAGGAAGAAGAAGAAGAAGAAGAAGAAGAAGAGGGAGGATGAGGAAGAAGAAGAAGAAGAAGAAGAGGAGGAGGAGGATGAGGATGAAGAAGAAGAGAGAGAGATGAGGATGAAGAAGAAGAGGATGAAGAAGAGGATGAGGATGAAGAAGAAGAGGATGATGATGATGAAGAAGAAGAGGATGAGGATGAAGAAGAAGAAGAGGATGAGGATGAAGAAGAAGAAGATGAAGAAGAAGTAGGATGAAAATAAGAAGAATTCCAGTCCAGCAAAAAGTGTCTCTGCAGAGAGCTCCGCTATTTCTGACAGTTCTCTGGCAGTTCTTTGACATTTACAGCGGTTGCAACATTGTACCTATTTGTTTCCGAATAAAAACATCTGTATCCTAAATGGAAACAAATAGATACAATGTTTCAACCGCTGTAAATGTGAAGGAACTGTCAGAGAACTGTCAGAAATAGCGGAGCTCTCTGCAGGGACACTTTTTGCCAGCTGTAGAAGGGATGAAAATCGGCCGATTTTTTTTACCATTGATGGTAACGTCGGCCGCTTGAACGACCGAATTTTCGTTTTTTAAAAAAAAAATCTGCCGTTTTTCTCCCCATCTATGGCCTGCATTAGGGTTCTCTTTGTTTAGGTTCACTAGATTTTGTATTGCTTGGTGTATTGAATGTTTTTATATATTTATGCTTTTGTCACTTGTATTGTCTTCAGAATAAAACCACAAAGTATATGCAGTGTTTGAGCCTGGTGATCCCTGTGCAGGTTCATACATATCTGGTCACGCCTGTTTCACAGGATACCAACACGTGGTATTTTGACACTTACATGTTTCTAAAAAAAAAAGTGTGCAAAATGAGAACCTTGTGCTAAGGTAAAGTATATTTGTCAGCTACAGTGCAACTCAAAAGCATTACAAAATTCTGTATATTCAGACAGCAATAATGTAAAAAAATCAGCTGAAGACGAAGGTGTCATGCAGACAGGACATTTTTACAGCTGCTTCTAGGGGCATCTTTTTTCCTGCTGCCTAAACTCCCCAGCATGTTAGTCTAAACATTTAGAGGAGTTTAGAGGCAGGAGAAAAAAAACACTGCTAGTGTGTCCAGGAGCAGCGGCGTTTTGGCAGAAAAAAAACGTTTGATACACGTGTCTAAATGTAAGTTAGCGCTAGACATGTTTAGCTCTTGAGTGTTATGACAGTTCAATGTGCAGAATACATTTTTTATTTTAGTCAATGAAAGGATATTAACACCCAAACGCTTGATGTGGCTAAATGCGTCACACACTTTTACAAGTGTCAGGCTTTTTTTTTTTTTTTTTTTGCCAAAACCCTGCTGCCAGACTTTAACCACCTCCCACCCGCCATATAAGGAAATGACGGGCGCAAGGTGGTTCTCTCATTCTGGGAGGACATCATATGATGTCCTCCTACTTTAACCGCGCATGCGCACCCTGGGGACATGCAGTGTGGCGATCAGTGGTGCACTGTGTCCCTGGGACACGGGATCACCGATCAGCGGAAAGAGCCGATGACTTCGGCTCTGTCATGTGATCAGCTGTGTCCAATCACAGCTGATCGCATATAAATAAGGAAATGCTGGTTATCCGAGGAGAGCCGGTAATAGGCATTACTCAGAGGGGACATCTACACTAATGATCAGTGCCCTGATGATCAGTGTAGCCCCATCAGTGCCACCTGTCAGTGCCCATCAATGCCACATATCAGTGCCTACCAGTGCACATCAATGCCACATATCAGTGCCCATCTGAGCTGCTTATCAGTGCCAGTCAGTGCCGCCTAAAAGTGCTGCCAATCATTGCCGCCTATCAGTGCCAGGCAGTGCCACCTATTAGTGTCCATCAGTGCCGCATGTCAGTGGCCATCAGTGCCACCTAACAGTTCCAGTCAGTGCCAGTCAGTACTACCTATCAGTGCCATATATGAGCACTGCCTTTCAGTGCCCATCAGTGATGTCTGTGACTGTCCAGCAGTGATGCCTGTCAATGCCTATCAGTGCCACCTACCAGTGCCGCCTATCAGTGCCCATCACTTCAGCATCATTAGCGCACATCAGTGAAAGAGAAAAATTACTCATTTACAAAATTTTATAACAGAAACTAACAAAAAAAAAAAAAACTTTTTTTTTTTAAATTTCAGAAGTTTTTGGTTTATCAAAAAATAAAAACCCAGTGGTGATTAAATACCACCAAAAGAAAGCTCTATCTGTCTCAAAAAATGATGAAAATTTCATATGGGCACAGCGTTGCATGACTGCGCAATTGTCAGTCAAAGTGCGACAGCACTGAAAGCTGAAAATTGGACTGGACAGGAAAGGGGTGAAAGTGTCTGGTAGGCAAGTGGTTAAAAAACATCCTGAGGCCTAATTATTAACCTCCCTGGCGGTATTCCTTAGTGTAGCTCGGGGTAAAGTTTCATCACCACAAGCGGTAACCCCAAGCTACACTCGGGAATACCCTGCAGCGCTGCTCCGGGATCTCTTCTTCACTTACCTTGTCCTGCGCTCCCGCGATGTCCCTCCTGCAGTGTCCCCTGTAATGTCCTCCGGCGGATGCCGGCATTTGTCTTCCGGATTCCCTGCGACGTTGGACCGTACGGGGGATGGAACGACGGGAAATTTGAAAGTTGTAAAAGTGACATTCACTAAATACACTAAAATCACATAGTAAAACATTACTGTATCAAACCATTTCACTTACATTTTGTCCCGAGTGCTTTGTCCTGTGCCCTGCCTGCATGTTTACTGTTCTTTCTGCCTGGAAACTGAGAAACGTCCATGGCGTCCAAAAAGCATCCCTTTAGGTCAAAAGCGGTTTTAGACCAGCTAGAGAACAGCGATAGTAAATCAGAACCACTTGCAGAATTGAGTGATAATGATTCGTGGGGAAATTCATCATCAGACACTGAAAACGATTTTTGCGACTTTGCTCAGTGATGTGCGAACTTGGCGCTATATTTCAAATTTCAGTGTCTTTGGTTTGATTATATTATTGAATTAAATTTATTATATAATTTTTTTTAATGATTATTTATTATATTATAATTTATGATTTCGTGTTTCAAATTTTATCCTACCCGAGATGTTTACTAGACTCTTGTTCGGACAGATTTCAGTGAGTTATTCCTAAAAATTACAGGCCTACAATAAACAAACTACATATTTCCATGCAAAAAAAATGTACCGCTTTGAGCACAGAAATACTGACATAATCAGACCGCTAGGGAGGTTAATTTAATTTTTTTTTTTGCAGGCTGATTTACATCTGTTGAGATGCAGCAGCTGCACGTACAAAATTGCCAGTTCTAACTTGACAACTGTGCAGTTGCTAGTGCATGTCCCCAAATGCAGTGTACAAAATTGGTACCAGAAGCTGTATCCATGCAGCTGTTGCATCCCAATAGACATATGAATGAGACTGACTGCTTATACGAAGATGTACAGAAAACGTGTACATTCTGTGCGGGGCGAAGACAGCCCTTTGCACAGGTGTACACAAGAATATACCCATGTAGACAAGGCCTTTGTATATCAAATGGTGTATATCAAATGGTTTGTCACCTGGCTGTCATGCTGATGCTCTTGAATCACTGACCCAGAACAGGTAGGTAGATAAGTATTTTTCTGATTTTACTGATAATTGTTCTGAATGAGCAAGTTTGAATGCAGTAATTATAATGGCTCCGCAGAACATCCAGGCAAGCTCTTTCAGAACATCCAGGCAAGCTCTTTCAGGAGGGTAGCAATTGTCAACCACTATATTTCTCTCATAACAGGTAAGAGAAAACGCAATCACAAAAATCTTATAAAACCTTTAAGATCACATGCACACAGGGCTTTTGCTTTTTTCCTCTGAACGCTAGTACTCCTGGCAGGGGAAAAGCTGCTTAAAAGGGGCCTAAAGCCACGTATTGCACATGCGTTTAGGCACGTCAACTGTGTTTGAACGTTAATAGATTCCATTCGCCAGAACATTATTCTTGCTTATAGAATGCATTAATACTTGAATGTGCTTAAACACGTCGATCGTTTAGTTGCATTTACACATATTCATTATTTTTTCTACTCTTCAGCTCTTCTCCTGAAGGCACTTCTGATGTTTTTTTTTAGCCAGTAAATGCTCCTCTTCTAAACACTTGTAAGGGCTCATGTACACGGGGGATTTGGAAAACTCTTCTGAACGACGGAAACTGCTGGAAAATGTAGGTTAAAAAACCAGTTTAGACGCGTTTGCATACTGCGTTTATGCACGTTTGTGTTTAGAAGCGTTTTTAAAAGATAACCTCAGGAGACCCTCCCAAATGCCCAGAATGCATTGAAAAATAGTAAATAATTAACTATTTTAGACATTATGAGACGAAGAGAGAGCAGAAGCAAAGAGAGAACAGTATGTGCTGAGATGACCGGTCTTTTCTGGTTGTACTCACTATGGATCCCATCATGAGCAGAATGCGGCCCGTTCTACCATTTTTTCCTTCATGCGGAACCTGGAACTGACTGTTCTGGTGTACTAGGTCCATTTGAATACATGGAAAATGCTTTGTATGCATTTCTGATGATGAAAAAAGGCTTCGAACAGCATCTGGATATAGAACAGTTAAAAAACGCTTCTAAACACAAACGCTTATAAACGCAGTTACCCGCGTTTACAAGCGTTTGAAACGCCGGTAAGATCTACTCCTGAACGCAAGTTTGGTGCATTAAAAAAAAACGACTGGAAACTCAACTGCCTGTAAACGACGATGTGTACATGGACACATAGGAAACCATTAGGGAGAGTTCAGGGGCTGCTGAAAAAACTGCTGAACAGCTCCGAAACATGAGTTTATCAGCTGCAGTGTACATGAGCCCTAATAGTGTGCATGGACACATAGGCTAACAGAGGTGTTTCCAAAAGTCATTTGCAATTGTTTGAAACCTGCGGCCATCTTTTAAAAAGAATTCCCAATGATGTCTGTCTATTTAAGTCCTTCAAACACTTAATCTTAAAGGACAAAGAAAAAAAGCTGAAAACATTTTTATTTTTCTTTTAAACACAATTGCTTATTGGATTCTGAATTCTTTCCTAGATACACAGAATATAACTGGATGCTAACATTTATAGGTAAGTTGATCCAGGGAATATCCAAGT